CAGAGAATAACTGGCGAATTTCTTGCTGAGAAGATTCTCCTGAACGATTATTAACTCAGTTTTAAAGCTTTGCATATGGATCAATAGGGTCTGGTTTCATAAGTAAATCCCGTACTAGTGATGCGATATCTGGAGGAGATGAGAAACTACATAATTATATTTAGTAATGGATTCTGTGATAGTTTGGGGGTGGCAAGAGCAAAAGTACTTTCACACATAATAAACCATAAAGATGGGTCTGATTCGGTTATAAACCGCAATTTGGACGGCATGAACATCAGACATTGTGCAAGGTTTTTAAGCCAAAAATAAAAGCAAAAATTAACTAAAGAAAATGAAATTAAATGATAAGTAGAAATCAGAATTATAAAATAATCTATAATTAGCTACTCATCTGTGATTCGGAGGATGAAAACCGATGTAATCCATTACTTCTGGTTTGGAGATCTGAGTGATGGCTTGTAGTCAAAACCGAAAGGTTGAGAACTGTTCATACGATTTAACACAGTCCGGGTTACCATTATGGTAATTTCCTGTTATGTTTTACCACCCCCTCCTCGAATTCATATCACAGATTATGTTCTTACTGCATTAATAATATTAACAAGACATAGTGCACAATAAAATTAAGCTTTATTTAGGAACATCGCGCATACTCCCCGACAACCTGCCTGTTTCGCTCTGCTCGCTACTCGTAAGAAAAACTTCTCCTCTAGGGTTGCCACACTTATCGGAGGGCGCAAGGCGCGCTCCTTATCGCCATCACCACAAATCTTTCGCATGTCAACGCTCTCTAATCTCTAACGGTGGCATTTTTAACTTTTTCCCCCTGCTAAAAAGAATACGACTTTTTTATGAACCGCATTTCTTTATCATGATTTCTTCCTTTTATATAATTTTTTTAAAGTTTTAACGAACTTTTGGCTCACTTTGTATTTCTTACCAATCCCAGAACTTTATTATACGTCTTATATATACTTATAGAATCAAATCCAGATTTAACAAATCGTTCGCGATCGTAGTTTAAATTCGTTAAACTTTTCCTGGGGCTGAGGAATATATATCCCGTGCATTTACTACTATGAATAAGGGTCAATTTTAGCCCATTATAGAGATTTTAAATTTACTACTTAATATAGGGTAGGATGTAAAAAACCACGCTGATTATTTTTTCTGTGCCGTCTTTTTTAAATAATTGACTGAATGGTTCGAATAAATAAGAAACTGGTCTTTATATTCCTGCCAAAAAGGTTAATATAAAATTATTCGTTTCTTTAAGATGCATTAAAAAGAATAAATTCAAAATAAAATATTCAATAAGAGGGAAAAAATTATGTATTTATTTTTAATATTGTGATCGCAGATGATTAATTTTTAATATTGTGATTACGATATGTTAATGAAAAGTATTTTGTATGCAAAGTACATTGGTAAAATGTCTTACAATTCACAGTATATAAAGACTTATTGTTTAGAAAACAAATATCATATTACAGTAAGAGTCTATTCCATAGATTTCAAGCTCCAGATTTCGTTACCATATTTCGGAAAGCTTTAAATATTCCATATTCCAACTCACATTTCACAAAAAATTTTTTTAAAGTCACTGGGAAGAGCATGTTTTAACGTGATTTGTTATACTTCTTTCCCACTGTTGTAGAGACTTATTCTGTTTTGAAAACGAGAAGCGTATGTCATTCGCTTGACTAACTAAATGTCAAGTATTATAGTCCAGACTACAAATTTATACAGCCACAGCTTTAAAACGCAATAAATTTTACATGGCTACTCTTAGTACATTACAGTTAAAGCAATGATTTACCAAACTAAAGGATCGATTACTCATCAGTAATAATTTCTAGCAATCAGCTTAGAATTACCTGGTTTGAATGTACAATTACCTGCTTTGCTTAGAATTTTCTGCTTTGAATTATACTATCAAATTCAAATCCTCTAAAAAATGACATCTAGTTTTATCCTTAACTAATCGCCGTCCAAATGGCTACTTGCCAACATCAAGGGGCAACGGCTATTTATGCGACTTCTGATTAAGATCATTAACTGGAAAACTCAGAAACTAATAAAAAATAGCAGCCCTTCATTATAAGCGACTAGGATTTAAAATTTGAAAACTGAGAAAAATCATAAAAATTATTTTATGATAGGTACAGAAAAACAAGACACGCTTATATTTATTTGTCTAAGCATTGATATAAATAAAATGCGATCTAATAAATAAATCTTTGAAAGTCGTCAATTTTTAGAAATAAAATTTTGAAATATTGGCTTCGAATTTAAGTCTTACTTTACATTTTTAAATATCGGAATAAAACATGGAGTTTAATTTCGAAGTAATTCGGAAATTTATTGTAATAATTACAACGAAATCGTTAATAATCAATTAAAGTTTTTAAAAAAATTAGGAGTACATATTTTATTTTCTGATTTTTGTTGTTGTTGTTGTTGTTGTTAGTTGTACTAGTAGTAGTTTTAATATCTTTGGCATGAGGACATAAAATTGTCGGAGCGAAAATCACAGTTTTCAAGGAACATTAAACCAATAAAAATTTTCTGTAAGTTATCATTTAAAGCACTAGGTAGAACATCAGTTATAGTGTGGGCATGGAGGTAAGAAAAGACTTCCTACCTCCATGAGCGTGGATTAAAATTTAAGAGTTTCTGTGGCGCCATCTCTTGTGAACATTTGACCTCAACACCATAAGCTCATTTATTTAACAATTGGTAAACGTTGTTTAGTACTGTTCTGTTGTCAGGACCGGGTTCAGAAATGTATGCATGTATACGACTGTATGTGGAAGTACGAATGTATATGTGTGTATACATATACAACATTTATGCATATACATAAAAACACACTTTCATACATTTCTGTATCCGGTCCCCATAACAGAACAGTAGCGGTTGTTTTTAATCACAAATGATAAATGCACCTAAAAAATAAGTAAAAAATTATGCTTAATTAGTAAAAAAATATGTTTTCGTTATAAAATCAAATTGGATCTATTGAATTTTACCAGAGAAGAAAAATTGTATTCTAAGATTGCCCTTATAATAAAGCTAAGATTAAAAATAAATTAATTTACGCTATAATTTTGGCCGCCTAACGTGGCTCCATTTAAAATTGTATTTTCTGTAGCATATTTAGATTATTACACAATTTATTATCACTTATAATTTTATTTCGATATTAAAATAATACAGATACTTATGTAAAATATTTTGTAGAGTGTGAAGATCACTTCGAAATACCATAAGGTAAAATCTCATCACAAAGCCCAATGTAGAAGTACATCATGTCACGCGGAAATGCGAAATGCTGCAGCAAACAGTATAGAAATGCCGTATAACCACGTCTGCCTCAAGGTATATATTTTATATATTAATAATTTTTTAATTATTTTTCTGCATTATTTATTGCAGTAAAAAACTGTAATGTGACATTTTCTTCCCTAAACTGAGCTCGTTCCTCCAAAAAAAAGCTTTTTTCAAATTTATTTAATCGCTTTTTTAAATTTATAATTTAAAAAAATTCCATTTCCACAAATGTTTTTTTCCAATAACTCGCGCTCTATTTGCAATCTCTTGCAACACCGCATTTTCATTTCTAATCTTTGTTATTTAAAACTGAAGAATCTGTCAGATCTTTTGTGAAATTTTTAATTGTGTAGTCGTTTACTATATTTCTAATACTAGTATTTCTAGTAGTTTTATAATTACTTAAATTCGTACTGTTATCTTGAGTTTGTTTTAAAATTTTACTTAACTTGTTTTCCTCCCCTGGTGTATTCTTCAAAAAATCTTTGACAGAATTTTCTCTTTACTCTCGGACTACACAAACATAGTCTGTATATTAAAAAAAAAAAAGAAAAAGAAAAAGAAAACACTATGCGAAAGAAAACTACACTGGCCAGAAATCTATGATCCTATAAGTATACTTATATATTCACAGAAATAATGATAGGATGTTTGGCCCGGTTCTTTTATAAAAAAAAAAAAAAAAAAAAAATTAGATAAATGACATCTGTTCGAAGACACTAATACGTCGTAAAATGTGATTGTCGACAAGACTTCTAAATCCTCAATTTGTGTTTAGTCTAACCTGAAGATGCTCGATATGTTAGAAAATGTTTCATTCTCCATAAGAATTTCATTTCTCCATAAGAATATAATTATATGGTTTCTGGTAAGGGTATTTTAGAATCTGTGCAATAAAATATGAATACTGAAACTGAAAAGAAAAGGAAGTTTAAGAACGTGATTTAACATATAAATTTCGAATTGGAAAAGAAACATGCCAGCGTAAAATTTAAAATCAGGAACCTAGATCTATGATTGATTACCCTCAGTATGAAGAGTTTTGATCAACATTTAATCCAAATTACATTAGTTGGACTCATTAAAATCATTATACACTTTTTTCTTTTTTATGATAACTTCTTTAAGCGGCTGTAGTTTTCAGACAAATAGTATAGCAAATATGTAAAAATGTGTGGCAACCCCTAGCAATCTATCGAAATTCTAAGAATATGCTCTTTCTAAATATTTTCTAATTTTGGTCTTGAATTTTATGTGGCGTAAGCGAGGCTTATTTTTGAAACATAGAATGGCAATAATTCACAGAATTGGCAATCAGGCAGCTTCTTTTAGAAGTGAGTCTTCAGACGTGTACTACGTTATTTATATGAAGTATACTGTGTTTCAAATAAATCTTTAATGAATTTCTGGACTTAATTTTGAAACATTACAAAACAATTTATGAAATAAACTGCATGCGCTGCAAGTTTGTCTCTTATTCTTATAATAATCGTAGTAACTGGAATCTTATAATCAATGAAATCCGGTAATCCTAGAAAATGGCAGTTATTCTTTTAATCATAATAATTACAATAATTTTTCTTCAAATTTATTGAAGCATTTGAACATGTTAATGTTTCCTAAGTTGTAATGAATCAAATTTTTAGAACATAGAAACACTTAACTTATCCAGATCTCACTAATTTTATTGCAGTTGTTTAGTACAGATAAAACAGATAAAAGTTGTCGTTTCATTTGATCTCCCCAAGGTGTTGGTGACTGAGACCAGTCTAACATGAATATATGCATAGCTGTGATGAATAGAAATTAATAAAGGATCAGTAGAACCCGGATAAGAAGCTCCCGCAAAAGATGTTTATACCCTCTTAAGAAGTTTTTTATTTTTAAAATTCCGAAATAAACTTTAAAAGAGTATGCAGAATTTTCCATACTAAGAAGTGGTGACAAGCGTACATATTTTTGTGAAATTATACTAGTAAAGTCAATTTTAAATATATGCGTACACGAATTCAATTTCAAACGTTTTATTCGGTTCCAAGAAGAAAACTGTGTTTAATTTCAATCAGTTGATCAATCTCTTGCCATCTGACTTTCCAACATTTGATGGACGGGATACAGTCTCCACTTGCCTACTTGGAAAACTATTGTTACAGAAAATTCCACTTTAATTTACTTTGTCGGTACAGCTTAAACAGTGAGATATTACTTAGGTCAGTTGATTAGCTGTTAAAATTAGTCAGTACATAAGTTTAATGTGTACTTCAATTTGCAAGCATCTTCTTCTGCTGAATCTTACACCCAAAGATTTGCTGGATTTGCTTACGTATTGCTAAAGAGTCTCCGTCAACGAATTAGTGTTTTAAAAAAATTAGTTTATTGCATAAAAAAGTAAAAACATATTAAGTATTCTGTTTAATACTCCCGGTGGTTTTTAGGTTTTCCCCAACTGACAGTTTTTTCGCATCCGAAGGTACAAAGTATCTAATATTCCAAAAATTTTCGTGGCAAGATTTCAACAGAAACAACAGAGCCAAACTGTTTCTGTTATACTTGATGGCCATCTGGTTAAAAAATAGTCAATAATTATACAATACCCGTCTTACAGCATTTGAAAACATTTTTCCGTCTTTATTTCCAGTCAAAATTCGGGTAATAATTCTTTGCAGGGTAATAGCAAAGAATTTTGTTGTTTCTCCCATAACTCAAACAATTACACTGCTATAAAGCTTGTGATGTCAGTCCTTGAACGTGTCATTTCAAATTCTCAGTATAAAATCAGATAACCATATCTTTGGATATATTGAGTTCAGATGTTTTGCTATTATCGCCACATATGGTCTTCAGTTGAGATATCTTGCTGGCATCCGAGCAACCGTCACAGGACATAGCGCGATTTGCTCTCAACAATTTCCAGTCATAAAGTAGCTGGCAGTATGCGTCTCGGTAAGGCTTATTTAACAATGCATAAATAAATGGGTTAGTGCATGCTGACATCCAGGCCAAAATCGATGCGCATGTATGGAGGATAGGATACCTGAAAGGAAAGAAAGTTGACTTTTTAAATTAATTTTAAATGATGAAATACATATAATAGTTTTGTTGGTTAATGGGATACCAAATAATGATACTAGTCATATAATTTAATAAAATGTTGACATTTTAATGAATTATATATATACAGAAATAGTGAAAATTCAATTAAGAATGTATACTATTAATTGGAAGTGGTAGGGCAACAAGAATCAACGTATTGTTTATTAATTTGCAGTAGTTTCGAAGGTTTAAGTATATAGAACTTCTTTCTTCAGCTGCAAAAGTGCAAATGACGAAAGAGAATCCTGTGCTCCTGCGATAATAATGAGAGGAAGGAAATAAAGCTAGTAGCGCCATCTATTGATCAAATTCTCCAGTTCCGCCATTTACTGCGAATCCTCTCCAATTATAATTATGGTTATATTTTAATTCAGCATATTGTTAGCTTTCTGTAATTTTTTTCCTAATTTTAAACTATCAGTTTGTTTCCTTTATATGTGCAAATGAAACGTCGATTATTTTTTTTAAATTTGTTAGGCCTTTATTACATGAATAATTATTAATTTTCTCATTTTATGTATCTGCTTGGTCTTACTATGTATTTTCAATACATCATTCATTGATAGTATATTTATGGCATTTTTTCTTTTTCCTAGAGATAAATTACCTGATTAATTGATTAGATGACAACACATTACAAAAATAACGACAGGCACAATCTTAATGCTTTCTTTTAAACCCAGTAATAAAGAAGATATTTCACTTTTTTCGGTGAAATAGATGAATCCACCAAAATCAAAACTAAATTTTACTGTAAATTCCTTCTCTTTCTTCTAATTCTGAATCAGAACCATTTAGCATTGATTATTCTAAAAAGTAAGTTTAGAGCTGTCTGCGACCAAAGCTGATTGCCCTTCAATTTTACGTAATTTTCTTCATAGCATATTGAGTCCTCGCTCGTAACGTAACGCGTGGGATTAAATGATGAAATCTATATTTTCTTTAATTTGAACTATAACAAGAAAAAGGGACAATTATTGAATTCCTGTGATGTCTTTATTAGTCATATTTTATTTGCTTTCCTAATCTTAAGTAGGAGAAATTTTATTTCAGTTAAGTTTGCAATAAAATTGAAAAACAATTATCTTAAAGATTTATTTTAAAAGAATTGCCTTAATCATTTTTAGAATTTATGATGTTTTGTATTTTTAATTAGTCAAAAAGTTACGCAATACATGTAATTTTACTGGGTGTATACTTAAGTATGCCCTTTTGGTAAGTTAGCTTATCCCCTTATAAGTGATTTATTAATGATATTTGATTGAAATATTTCTGTGTAACTGAACATTTGCAATTATTTTATTTCATTGAATTATTTTTTCATTTAATTAAATGTTCATAAATATTAAGCTGTTTTAAGTATTCATTGTATCTAAGGAAGAGAGCTCTTATCTCAAATTGGTCTGGTAAATGGATAATATTATCATAAGTCTCCAGTGTAAACTGGGGGGGGAGGAATTATCAGCGCTATAGTCTCAACTAACCAGAAAAACTGAAAAGTAAAATGTTCAACCATTATCTGAAACTTTAATTTTCAAACCAATACTTTTGGTATTTTACACGCGTTTCCAGAAAATAAGTATTTGTCATCCTAGTTTCTTAGAAAATGTGGACATTACTTTTGATTCTCTTTGAGCTCCAGAATGTGACTCCAAAGCGAGAAAAAAGTTTTGCTCGAATTCTTTCACCCTTATATGAAAATAAGACACAGCACTAAATCCTTGGCTATGCGAGATCATGACTCTAGGAGTGCAAACACTTGAGCATTTTGGCGAATTTTCAGAGGCGATTTTCCGCTTTTGAAAGTTAAGCATGCAATGCAAATTAGCAACTTAAAATAAAGTACATTTCAATTTGAGAGGCTGAAGATCGCTGCGGATGTAGATGCCAGTATGCAAATATAGTATGTTGCAGCCAATCACGTCGACTGTTCGAACATATGTTAATCAGGCAGTAGTTAAAGATGGCATTTGAGAAGGCTCATTTTATTGCTGATACGAAATGTTTATAATTTGTAGTATAATTTTTAATGATATTTGTATTCCTACGACTGAAAGAAGAGGAATGGCAAATAGTGAGTGCTGGAATGCTGACATATACCTTGAAACAAGACTGTCAGTGAAAGATTTCGCTCTTTCCTTTGGCGTTATAATTCGGTAATTTCTCAAATGTGGAAACAATTCCAAATTTGCGTTTTAAAATTTTTAATGAAAATAAATCTGTCTTACCCAATGTTCTCTTCAAATACATTGACAATCATAAGTGGCAGAAAGCAGAGCTGAAATGTGCAGAAACTTGTAAGCATAGTGCAAGTGATACGAATCTCCTCCCTCTTCTTTGGCAAGAAACTGGAATTTCTCTTGGATCCGCTGTCAGGGGTATAAGAAAGCAACTTGAGTGCGCTTTGTCGAACCTAGAAAGAAACGTTTTAATTGAATAATAACATTGACAAACGCAGTGAAACCTCGATCCTCGAATATAATTTGTTCCTCAAGACCGTTCGTCATCCGATATGTTCATAAGTCGGAACTATTTTTCTTATTCTAATTAAAGGGGCACAGGACCTTTAAATCTTCAAAACATCGATTTTCAGATTTTTACATTTTATGAATATACAAACATTTCTGAACATAATGCAAAAAACCGCGTTGTAAAATTCGAATTATTTCTTGAGTTATGAAAGTTTATATCGTACGGTAAATCAGCGACGCTCGTTTAAAGGGACAAATATGGTGGTTGTTTACATTTTGGTTACCCTGTATACGAGCTCATATTTTTATTATTATGCAAAGAAATATTTAATACTGTTTTTTTTATTTCCTTTTCGTGTAGGGAAGAAGGATGGCAACTACTCAACTTCACTGCTGGTAGTTTGTTTACATGATAATTCTTATTATCACGCTGCTAAATCTAACGCTGTTCGAGTGTTTCTATTTCGGTATTTCATATCAAGTTTGTTTTACTGAGTAAACGTTTATGTAAAGATATTTGTTTTGAAATTTAAAAATGAATAATAATATCAAAAGAGCTTCAGGTCAAAGACCGAAGAAAAGGAATAATTTTTGTGGAAATCAATACACAAGAATTAATGATAAAGATGCAAATGTCTCTGCATCAGCAAAAAAAACTTCTAGATTGTTTAGTAGTATCAGGTGACAGCGAGTTTGAAGGGTATGCAATCATTGATAAAAGTTTATTATTTTCTGGATTAGAAGAATACTTATGCTGTCATTATTTGCCATAATAATTAATATTACTTCTGAAGTAGTATATGGTTTAACCATAAAAATAAATATTTCATGCTGCTCTTGTGGAGTACTAACATCTATATGAAATTCCAAACTTGTAAGTGAAAAACAAAATGCTTCTGATTTAAACAGAAGATTTACTTTAGCAATGAGGTGTATTGGAAAAGGATTGACAGAATCCAGAACATTTTGTGGAATTATGGATCTACCACCACCTGTAACACAGAAGTCATACGACAAAATTGTAAGTCATATGCATGCTGCTACACGCAATATTGCGGAAAATAGTATAAAGATTGCAGCTGACGAATAAATAAAAATGACTGGTTCTTCAGATTTGACCGTCAGCGGAGATGGCACATGGAAAACCAGAGGACATTCTTCACGTTTCAGTGTAACTACCGTTATTAGTGGTAAAACGGGTAAAGTTACAGATAGTTATGTTTCAAAGTTCCTACTGCAAAGGTTGTGAGACTGAAAAAAATATATCCTCAAAGGAAAGCTATTTGAAATGGAAAATGGAACATAACAAAGTATGCAGTAAGAATCATTTAGGTTCATCTGCACAAATGGAAGTGAATGGTATGTTAAATATGTTTTCGCGATCCGAAGAAAAGTATAATATTCGTTACGTTAATTATATAGGGGATGGAGATTGTAAAACTTTCTTAGCCCTTACGAAGGATAAATTCGTTAAGAAGTTATTCGAAAGAAACCATGCAACTTAAACAATTAAAATGAAATTCGAAAAAGAAAAAAATGCTTAAAATTAATAACAATTATAATTAAAAATATAATATAAAGAACATTATTTGAAAGAAAGAACGATTGGATTCTGAGCTGTGACTCTGAGTTAGTAGGTTGTGCTGTGGTTACGCTTAAGATTTTTCGGATACTGACCCAGTCCCGTAGGCGGTCGGTGATTATACCTTTGACTGATTAGTTCCCTTTGGGTAAAAAATGACCTTTTATAGGACACCACTCGATAGTTCTGATGAAGAGGACTACCGAAGCGAGCATTCGTCCAAATCCAACAAGACCTATCCATTGAAGAAAGAGGATTTCATTCTTATGGCCAAAGAAAAGAAAAGTAAAGCGAAAAAGGCGAAAACTATGTCAGATACGGAAAGCGAATAACCAAGTAAGAAGAAAGATGCTAAACCTGGTAAGGAAAAAAGAGACATTCAAACACCGAATGGAGAAGCTACTGATGAACAGATACCAGAAGATTTATCAATGGGAAATGATGAGGACATCCCAAAATTCAAGTCATGTTCTGAAGAAGAAATCCGGGACCAGAATGCAAAATTTGGATTTGACGTAATTTGCAATTACTTTCATAAAAGAACTAAGGGTGAGATGGACGTAGAGACATTCACGAAAACATTTTATCCAGGGCAGATAACTGAAAGAGGAACAGACAGCAGGGAACAAGAATGGATTTCTCCTAAGAAAACAGCGAAAGTATCAGAAAACGAAACTCCAATGGAAGTTACGACGGAAAATCGATTTGAGCAGCTAAGTGAAGTAGAAGGTATGGAAGAAGAAGGAGGAGCCGAAAAAGAGGAAACTCCACCCCCTATAGTTTTCCAGCAAAGCGAAGTGGATTGGCCTAAAATTCATGAAATCCTTATCAATACCTGCAGTGAAGAATTCGAAGCCGATATGAAAATGAAACTACTATATGTTAATTAAAGTCGTAGACGATTACAGAAAAGCAACTCTGGTTTTGCAGAAAAGAAATATACCATTTCATACTTTCCAGTTACTCAGCGGAAAACCTATTAAGGTTGTTCTTAAGGGTCTCCCATCGACGATGAAGGAAGAAATAATCCAGGCAGATCTGGAGAGAAGGAAATTCCCGATCAGTAAAGTCAAGCAGTTTTCCAGACGAAGAGCAGACACTATCGAAAAACTTCCGATTTTCCTGTTGGAACACAGCTTTCACACTGCCAGGCAATAATGTTGGAGTCAACTTCACTGCAAAGCACCAGAGTACAGCTCCCGACTCTGCTCGGTCGTTCTCGGAACTTCACGTACTCTCGAGACTCTCCACGCTGCAACTCGCGATGCACTCGACGACACACAGAACACAGCTCCCGACTCTTCGGTTCAGTCGTTCCTGGAGCTTAACACACTCTCTCGACAATGCACTAACCGCGATACACTAAGAGACTCTTCGATGCACTCGTTCGACTCGGCACTCACTGTCCGGCTGTCAACTCGATCGACTCCGCACGGACTGACTAACTCGAGATTAACTATCTCGCACTCTCGACGAGGCACACACACTAACTGACTGCGTACCAGCAGGGTTTATATAACTTTCGGCTTGTGTTCGAGAACATTCTAGGCTTAACCGGTAAGAATTCGTTCGAGAAGTTTCTCCATCCGTCTATGGCATCCGTCCATGCCATATCGCCAAATGTCGCCAAATGAGCGATTTCTCACCAAATGTGGCAACCCTGCCTTTCCTTGTCGTTTTATGGCAACCCCTAAAACTGCTTTGCGGGGAAGCCATCTTACCGCGCCTGTACATTTCGTAACACTACTAACACCTCATCCATAACTTTTGCAAGTATTTCATTTGATATCAAGTGAATTTCATTTCTTATGGCAGCTTTCAGATCCTCTACGTTGTTTGGTTAATTGACATAGACATCAGTGTCACAAAAGTGATGAACTGGGAACATGGCTAGGAAATGTCTGTTGCAGAAATTACCTTGTTTCAAGACCTGTGCAGCTTCTTGCACCGCCATACCGAATGAACACGTCCCTTACATTATGGTTTCGATTCTTTAGCTCGAGAATTAAAAAAACTCTCTAAGCATTTGTCTGTAAAAACAATAGACATTAACAGTTACAGCACCATTTTGATTTCCAAAAATATACGGACCTATTATCCATGATCATGATATTGCGCACCATACAATAGCTTTTTGACTATGCAAAGGGCATTCACGAATCTCACATTGGCTTTGTCCAATCCATATTCTCGTATTCCATATTCACGTATATATATTTATTCAAGTACCCAGATAAATGAAAGTGTGTTTCATCGGTCACTATGAGCCTCTGTCCAAAAATCTAATTGGCTATGTTCAGTCCAAACATAGTGTTTCATAGCTCTAAACGACGTTTAAAAGCAACTGGTTTCAATTTGTGGGATATCTGAAGTTTATATGTAAACAAGTTGAAATCTTTTCTCAGGATGTTGCGAACTGTTTTTCTGTTCACAGCAAGTTCTTGTGACAACCTTTCTGTTTCTATAAGATTCAACATGTCGCAGAATTCATTTCCGAGAAAAAGCTGCAAGCTAACCAAGCCTAGCGTGAAATCTTCTTTCAGCAGTGATAACTAAGTAATTGCTAGTGAAATAAAGTTCTATTATTACTGTTCGCTCTTCTGTACCCCATCTTTCCATGTAACATTCGATATCGGTCAAAATGGATATTTTCGTTGAAATATAACACCCGAAAATTTTCGTGATTACAATACTTATTTTACTTCGTACAAGGAAGTAAAAAGATGCAATATTAAGTACAGCAAATTATATATTTTAATCTCTAATTTTTATGTATGCATAAAATATTCCAAATACTTTCTACAATATTTGAATATGCAAAGAACAGCATTCAGATTCAATATAACATTTTCAAAAACAATATTTGTATTTCGTTAAAATTAAAAAATAATTAAATAAATATTTCGACAACAAAGAGTATGTATCAACTTTACAAACAGAAAGTCTCAATAAAATACTTACTTTATAAAATATGCAAGAATAACAGATAATAATGGTTATAGTCGGCAGAAGAAATCCAAAAGAAAAAAGAAATTTTTTTGGAGACTTTCCATCAGCATTTCTTAGAATGGTGCAGGAAAATGAAGCTTTATCGTAACCAAAACGTCCCCAGACACCGATGAGTGTGGGCACCAAAATAATGTAACTGAAAGCCCAACATACGATAATCATGGCAGTTACGTTTATTTTTTTGTATATTGTGCTGTAGACAGAATAACAGTTGATCAACACAAATCTGTGGAAGAAAAAAAAACAAGTTATAGATAAAAAATAAGTCACGTGTCTATATGAGTTTGTTCCAGAATCAAAACTAATGATTATAAGCTTCTATTATTGCTATTCATTTATTTCGATAGCATCAGAACTAAATTAGGTTTCTAAAATGGTGGTATTTCATAAATGGTCAGTAAATCGGAGTTGCTAAAATCTTGATAACCGTTATGATTTTGGTAATGTTTAAACCTAAGCAAAACAGCAACTTTATTTTAGCGTAGGTTTTGAATAAAACTCTCCCAATTTCGAGGGTCGCAAACACATGTCACTCTCTTTCAGGAGCGAAAGCATTTTTACAAAAGGTAAGAGAGACTGCCGTGACTGAGATATTAGAATTCCGAAAATGTTAGGAAGGATAGACTAGACTTTTATTCAAAATCTACGCCAAAATAACGCTGCTTTTCTGACTAATTATATTTAAATTGCATAGTATGACTAATTTTAAATTGTCAGGTTTCTTTTCATTTTGACTATTTTCGTAATACTTTAAAAACATGCAAACGGGAAGGTGGTTCGTGATTCTGATTGCCGTACTGAAGGGCTCGTATTTGAATCTCGGAGAAGGCATGGATCTAATTTGTCCATCCCTTCATAGGAGGTAACGGTAGTCTGCCTGTTAGGTGCCTCCATAATAAAGAGACCACTAATTCCGACCTTAGTTGTAGTCAACGCCTATAAACGGCTAGACCCCCGGCAATGGAAAAAAAAATTCTCAAATTAAAACTGAAAAATATTTTTAATTGAGTGAATTTTTTGGAAAATTATAAGTTACTTGTGTGGAAATTTTCTCTCTTTATCCAACAAAGTTGTAAATTAAAGTATGTTACATACTAGTAAATCACAAAAGAATATGACTGAACTATATTAAAGGAAAAATTTAGACTAAAATTTTTCAAATTGCCCACCAATCGCTCATGGCATATCGGAAACGATGACAAACATGACAAATTTTGGCCTTCAATATCTCGGTCACATTTTATCGTAAGGGATTCAAAATTTATGTTACGGAATCAACTTTTTGTATTCATTTTTTATAATAAGTATATACGTTTATTAATTATGTCGTATATACTTATTATAAGCAATGACTGTCATGAAATAAGTATCTAATTAAATTAAATGAAACTAAACAGGCAAAGATTTAACGAGAACGTTGAATTTTAATCAAATTTTTAAAAATTAAGTAAAGTTATTTGAATCTATTACATAAATCTGGACTAAGTTTGAAAAGATGGATGAAAAAGGAGATAAAAATAAAATATATAATAATAAATAAATAAATACAGCAAGAAAAGAGATGTATTATCTCAGTCAGATTGAAACTTTTCCAAAAGGTGAGTGAATGTAACAGTTACGTCTTTTTCTAGCATAATCAATTAAGCTTCTCTCGCTTTCAATTACTTTACTTGACACATCTAAATTAATTATTTTAAATTATTAACACCTTTGAAAATTAAAGCCAGTACCCCGACGTAACGAATTTGCCGAAACAAAAGTAAATCAATAATAAAAATTCAAATAAATTTAATAAAAATCGATACAAATATTCATTGAAACAAAATTTGTAAAGTATACAAAAAAATGGCTAACTTGAAAAACTGTACACGATTTCAAAAAGAAAAGGATTTTATACAATCTGTAATTTAATTAAAATAATCTTTCATGCAATATGACAAAATCTGCGTCAAAATATAAAAAGAAACAATGAAATAAACTAGTAGGAACCTGCCTAACTTCAAGTTGATGTCTCAAAAAAAAAAAAAAAAAAAGTAAATAAATAAAATATTATCGTTATAAATTGTGGGTGGAAAAGATCCCACTATATTTAATTTTCATTAATTTGGTTAAATTTCAACGTTCTGGTTCATTCTTTGCCTGTTTTGTTTTAATTTAACATATTTATATTTTTATAGCTTATTTTATTACATTTTTACTTGTATTATAAAAAATTTTAATGGCCTTAAATTATTTTAATTTGGTTTTTTGTTCGGATTTATTTCATAAATTTATAAACATCCAAATGTAGTTCTAAAACGAGCTCTCTGGAAAATGTGTCTGTTGCTCCATGAAAAAAAAATTCAACTCTTTGTTTTATTATATTATTTTTTAGTATGTTGTTTTATTTTTATCCAAATTTGATATATGTTCTTACTGTTAAACTTTTAACCACCAATTGTGATTTAATTATGTAATTATTATAGCTTGATTATTATGTATATGTATATAAATATATACTTAAATAAATTAAACAAAGGGCAAATCATCTTGAAAAACAATATTTATGCGGAGTAAACTACATTAATTGAGTCTGGGGATTTGGAACAACTTTCATATTTTTTTTAGCTTTTTTACAATAGTTTTTTTTTTTTTTTTTTTTTTTTCCCCATTAGGAATTGTGAAATTTTGTGCCAGTTCATTATTCCTAAACTGAATATAATAACTTAATTTAATTTGATTATGTTTTGAGTTTAATAAATACATAATAATAATAAGTAAAATATAAGCAGTGTGAATAATATCTGTCTAGCGACTTAAAGAGGATGGGCCGCAGTCAGTTTTAGGACCCCCTGATCCTAAGAGGCTATGTCTGTTTGATAATGAGAATTGTTTTGTTTGTATATGCACTTTAGGTATTAATGATAATCTTTGCCTTTAGATAGCATCAATGAGGATCATTGTTGTTTCTGACTGTTTCTTTTTTGGGTCAGGCTGAAATCTGCAACCTTTTGGATGGTAGCAGGTGACAGAAGACAGGGATATCTCGTAACTAATATTCGTAAACAGGCATTGTTCCTTGCCCACTACTATCTGTAGAACTGGCATCTTTCTTGAGATCACGAAACGCCTCATCGGGAGTTAATTTTAAATATAACATGCGGCCTTCGACTTTCTGCTTACGCTCAATTCTACTTATGCATAATTCGTTATTTCGCACATTTTTTAAAAATTCAAATTTTAAGAAATTTTATTGATATTGCAAAAATTTTTTCCTCCATTCAGTCGTTCAATCATACATTGCCTCCTAGAGCAGTAGATTTTTCGGAATCCATTAATATTATAAGAAATACTTGTAAACGAACCCAAACGGGTTTTCTCCCTCATTTTCGATATACCGCAGCTGACCCCTAATCACAGCCGATGAAGTTGGGAACACAGAGAATTTTACTATGATTTGCTAAAAGCTCCGTTTATAATTTTCATATTATATTTATATATTTCATACTTAAATATTATTCGAAAAGATTTTAATTACAAGTTCCTGTAATTTAATCTTTCCATTTTTTGTCACCATTTCTTCACATTACGGAGTTAAGTTATTTATCATCCAAATAAGAATAAAAAAGTTTCCAATTCTCAGAGATATTGCAATTCAATGTTCATATTATCTTTAACGTATCTTTCAAATTAAAACAGTATCCTGATTACCTAATTGAGTGATTTTAAAACAATAAGCTTACTTCTTGATAATTTATATCTTTACTTTATTTTTAATAATGTCTCAGAGTGGTGTAATTTATAATACATTTTAAGTAATGTTGGTTTATAATACATCTAACTGATAAATTTTATAAACATGTTAACTTATAAATAAAAAAGATATATCTGAGATGTATGCGTATCTCGGTGCAAAATAATCATTTGTGCTGTACAAAATCAATGCTAACAATCATTTAGAAATATGATTTCTGTAATACTGCATTAAAAAATTAATTTGAAAATTGTTAGATTAATAACTACCAAAACGAACCTATGCACGCTTTCCAATCAGTATCAGGTTACTAAGAAAAAGCTATTAAAGTGACTAAAACACACCATGCATCATAGGTATGGCTAAATGACTATATTAAAGAAAACTGAATTGTCCGAAATAAAATTCAGGAACAATAATCTAATGTTAAAAGCTCAAAATTTTCCTAACAAAAACAGGTGAATCGGTGGGCAGTGAAACACTGTTTATCTGTTTTTCGCAGTTATGCGTCTTTTATGCGCTGCTTCCTTTCTTTTTCGATTCATTTCTATTCTTCTCAATAGTAAAATATATCATTAATATGATATATGACATCGGTTATAATACTTCGTTTTTCCTTCTTTTATTCATAGATGCTCTTTGTCACAGCGGAAATAATTTCACCCAGAGTCATTTCTTTCTTCAGCCAGCTTCTGATTTGGGGAGAAGAAAAGATCATGTAGTACAGCGATGGGCAAACCGCTGCCCACTATCCGCATGCGGCTCTTTTCTAGCTTAAAATTAGCTTTTAGGGCAGCTATAAAATGTTATCGATAGAAATATCTACATTCAATTTTCTAAAAAAATTCATAGTTATTGTTAATGCAAACAGTCTGATACTCTCTTCCAACACGTTGTAATCTATTGCAAAATTTTTAAATTTGGTGCTTTTAGTGAAACAGAGATCAAAACAGCAAAATCTTTGTAGCCCTTCTAGTGACACCATGAAGGCATTCGAAAACGAGGGAGAACATGCATCTCCTTTTAAAAGACGACTGCGAATGAGGGGACCCAATAACCAAATCCTGGTGGTGAAGAATTATAATTCCCCCCCCCCAATTTTAGTTCAGGCGCCATTAGTAAAGTATCTTCCTTATATCTTTTATTACAAAAGGCAAAGAGACATAAATGTGTATGGTGTGGACGCATTCAGTTCATCAATATTTACGTTACAGAGTGTTAAGTATTGCCATATTTTTTTCAATATTCTGTATAATACGAGTATTTACTATATTTGTCACATATAACCAATCCTTTAATATAAACTCTGTTGTTAATATAAACTATGGTGGACTGACTCTAGCAGTGAGGGTCCCCTCTGGTGAGTAGCCAAAGGAAGACTTCAGTAAATTCCATGGGATGAACCTATTAGGTTGTATCAGATCCTTGCTTTGTATAATTCTTAAAATTATATGCCATGTCCGTATGTAACTTGATCATTGTAATAAATTATT